TTTAGGCCTAAGTTAATTGTGTCTGATTTGCATATTAATTCAAGTTCAGCAGTCTCTCTTTGGAGTCTGTTTTTGAAAATTTTTTGTTGCAAAACTGACACCTTCAAGTCTGTCACTGAGTGGTTAGAGAGGTTGAAGTGTTCTCCCACTGGTTTTTGAATGTTATGATTCCTGATGTCAGATTTGTGTCCATTTATTCTTTTGCGTAGAGACTGTCGAGTTTGGCCAATGTACATGGCAGAGGGGCATTGCTGGCACATGATGGCATATATACAGTCTTGGGTGGATTGCAACATAAACAGCTACCACAATTCTGGATGGGAAGCTAGTCAAGATTATATGCTTTTCCTTAAGACTGTAATATTCAAGTCTTTCGGGGAAACAGCATGATTACTGCTGTTTTATAGGTATTGAGAGGTTAAAGGTATCTCTGGTCTACGTAGCTGTATAAATGTTATCTTTTGACTTAGGTGTGCTACAACTTTAAACTGCTAAGCACGCTGCCTTCTGCAGAGACAGGCAGGCACAACTGCTGACGCCTGTGACGGGAATTAAACACACAAACGTGGCTCTCTCATGGAGGCTTCACTTTTGTTCTTTCATTATCTTGTTTTCCTGAAGTGAAATAAATTCTTTGAGATTGAAAACTCAGGTTTGGCTTTCACTAGATGGAAATGCAAATTCGCCCCAGGCCTGCCTTTTGCTTCAGAATCAAAGAAGGGAGAGAAAGCGGGACTGTTTGCTTAGCATGTATATTGTGCTTTTCCTAGAGTTTGTTTCTAACACTCCCAGAGGCTGTAACGAGGCACAGTGGGATACCAGAGAACTAAGGGATATTTAAGCAGAACATATTTCCTAATAATGCTAAATGTCAGACTGCGGTGGAACAGCTTGCTAAGGAAAACAGCAGAAGCCCTTTTGCTTGAGTCAGTTGCAGCTGGATTGGAGATTCACACACCCGTCCCAGGCAGGGCAATGGGCTAGATGGAGTAGTAGGCATTTCACATTCCTAACTTCATATAACTGTTTTCATTAGACCCCTTTACATTCATTTTAAAACATGTATTAAATGTTTAACTAAGCAGATGCTTTAAATGACACCATCAATACGTAATAAATAATACTTAGCTTAAAGGTTTCTAAATTTTGCCTCAATCCATCTGTAATGCACATCTCCCAAGGGACATTTAAAGACCTGTCATCAAAATGGAACTGTTTCATTGCCCTATGACTATTTTCTAGTAAAGTCCTTAGACATTTCCTAGTGCATGGGAGATATGACCCTTCATTCAGCTGGAGGTGTTGGATTTTTCTCTTTTCTTAGTCTCCACTTTGTTCTCTTGCTCCTTCATCAATTATCCCAGTCCAGTGTCTTATGGGCATCATCCTGCTTCACAATGGCCTGAGACTGAAAAGCTAATCAGAACGTTGCAGCCCTCGATCATAGGGTAAGCTGCACCCATGACTAGCTCCAGGGAAGGATGTGGACGGGTGGAGAAGAAAATTCAGCTTTCTGAGAGCTGCTCCCTGTAATAAGAACTTTTAAATCATTCACATTTTAATAGAAGTTAGAAGGATTTTGACAAATGGAGTCCAACACCTAGTCAGGAATATTATCCATCTACGTTCATAAATCAAAGGAAAATAAGAATATGCCATATAAGGCCAAGAAACAATGTCAAGGTCCATAAGTTTAGTTTAACTTTTTATTTCAGTTTGGAAACCCCCTATAATGCCCCAGCAACCCTAAATAATCAGTTTGGTGTGTGACTGGAGGCAAGCTGCTTAAGACTCAATTATTCCACCTGTTAAATGGGGTTACTACCATTTACGCCCCATGGGAAAGAGCTTTGGGATCACTAGATATCCAAGCAGTAAAAGTGCAAAGCAAAGCAAGCTGAAGTTCTAAAGCAAAGATTTAACAGCTGGGAATTGTAAACCAAACATTTGCTACTACTGAGTTCCATCGTCTGCCAGGGCATTCTGATTTGCACCCCTGCCGTTTAAAGACCAAAATCCCTTGCATCATGCTTATCACTCCACCTGTAAGAACTATCAGCCTCAAGTCACACAGTGCAGTTCATCTTGTTAAACCAGCAAAACTGGCTCCCTGAGTTACATTAGCTTTTCCTAACATGAGTCTCCAAAATCTTCCATTCATCGCAGGAGGAATAGGCCCTTTGGGAGCCTGGTAGGAAGGCATGTGGGAGCGGTGTCTGCACTCCTTGATGCATTGATCAGTGTGAGAGCATGTTCCAGTTCTAACTGGCTCCTTGTCCCCTCTTTGCAGGCTTGTCTGCGCTCCTGTTTCCAAGCTCAGATGTTTGAAAATTGTGGGTGTGGTCACTATCTGTTCCCTTTACCTGAAGGGGTAAATTATTGCAACAATGAAGATGATCCAGACTGGGGTAAGAACATGAAGTAACAAGGCCCCATAATGCGTCAGGGAAGGGATCGGAAACGCACAGGGCTCTGTCAGGAGTATTTTAAGTAACTGAATTCAAGGCTTTGCTTGTCTGAGTTCTGCAGTGGCTCTGTTTGCTAACCAGGGGGATACTGAGGGGGGAGGCAGAGCTTTCAGCTCTGGCATCAGAGTAAGAAATCTCAGCTTCCCTAGCAGCCAGGGGCGGCTCTAGCGTTTTTGCCGCCCCAAGCACGGCAGGCAGGCTGCCTTCGGCGGCCCCCAATCCCGCGGATTCGGCGTACCCACCGCCAAATTGCCGCCGAATCCGCGGGACTGGCGGACCTCCCAGAGGCAAGCCGCCGAAGGCTCCCTGACTGCCGCACTCGCAGGGACCGGCAAGGCGCCCCCCGCGGCTCACCGCCCCAGCACACGCTTGGAGCGCTGGTGCCTGGAGCCGCCGCTGATAGCAGCTTAGTTGAAGGCTGCTCACACAGAGGTGGCCAGCTGGTAACACCCAACACGGTGTGGGATAACAGGGATTTCTACTCTCTGCTTTGAAGTGAACACAAACCACCACACTGGCCTTGTTGCATTTCAGGTCTCCTAGCCCGGAAAGGTCAGCACTTCTCCATGGGTTTGTACAGAGCCCCAGATAAATTTCCCCCTTCAGTACAAGGTGGCACAGAGCAGATGTAATCCTCAGTGCCCAATTGTGTCTGCTCTGAATGTTTCTGAGTGCTGCAGTTCCCTTGTGGCAGACATGCACAGAAAAGGGATTGTAGTAAAAACAAGGGCATTAGTATATTCAATGAGGTTCTATTTCAAGTGACAGCCCATGCTACCTACTGGAGTGATGAAGATCTATTTTACGTAGTACAGTGCTGCATAATCAATCTGTTAAGCCCTTAATAATAATAGATGATGTAACTTTTTGCAGATAGCTAAGAGGTTAACTGGTTTTGATTTAATGGTTAACCAAGAACCCAGAAGGTTAAAGGGGATGCAAATTTGTGCAGCAGCAAAGTTCTCATCTGAAAGGATTGTTTGCTTTTTGTTTTCACCAAACAGCATATTGCTATTCTTCACTGAGATCAAGTATAAGACACAGGCAGTTTTGTATTGACTCTTGTAAGGAAACATGCAAGTAAGTACATGAACTCTCTCTGGCAGCTCTCAAGGTGGAGGGAATCCTGCGTTTCATCGCTCCGTGAACACTGATCTTCTTAAAATCTGAAATCCTTTTTGGGGTGTTTGAAATCAAACTCAAGTTCTGGTGATTTCAGAGAAGTGAGAAATTCTGTGTATTAATGTTCGTGTGTCTTCTTTCCAGTGACACTCAGTACAAGATGACCATATCGATGGCAGACTGGCCGTCTGAAGCTTCCGAGGTAAAGCCAATTTCTAACTTTTAAAATGTAGGTTGATAATGAGATGTTCTTACCCAAGTGAATTCCTCCGTGTTTGAGGTTAACATGTTCAGCTAGGCAACCTCCCTGTCTTTGCTAATTGACACTTGTCAGCACTCAGCAGAGAACAGCCTCTCCAGGCTGTGAAATACAAACAGGGAGGGAGAGCTTTTTCTTTAACAGAATTGGAGCCAGGAATATTGTATCTGGTTTTAAAAAGCAGAGAAGGCCTCAGTTCTTTCACCTAGGTGAAAATCAGGAAGAGCTGATAGTTAGAACCATTGGTGTCAGTGAGAGGAGAATCCGGCCCTTAATTATTCATTATTTTAGATGTTAACTACAATGAGAACAATGGCCTCCTCTTTCAAATCAATACCGCACTCGCCTTTGTAGCTCACTGCGCCACGGACAGAGCTGCCCCTCCAAAACTATACAATAGGAACATGGTACAGGACTCCCAGCCGTAACGGAAGTCTACTGTGTTTGGCCATTTTACCCTAAACTTCCTGTCTAGCTGACACACCTCACTATGATCTGCATATTTCACTTCCCCAAGAACAGCTGGAAGCTGCTACAGAAGCAACATGGAACCCTCTCTCAATAGCTGAGAACAAAAAAAATCATCCACCTTTGTACTAGATGAAGGAGTTGTCTGACGTAGAAAAGTGTGATAGGACCTCACGGAATAGCCAGTGTGAAAATTCAACATTCCATAAATATATTCATTAAATAAATGTTCAAGTTGCATACTTAAGCAGCCAAAGGTCAGGAAATGTCAAAAAGAAAGTTGCACACTAAGCCTTAACTCTGCCTCTTTATGTATCTACGTAGATCTGCAAATCTGCAGATATCCGCTTTATATCCATGGTCTATGTTTGCAGACCGCAGATCAGATGCAGATACCAATTTTGTATCCGTGCAGGGCTCTTCATATACGTGACAAGTCTTTAATTGTATGACCACATTCTATGTGGTCATATGTTTGTATGACCACATTCATACAAGATTTTCAATGAGATTTTAGATGGATGTAACATCCTCTAGTCTGTGCTACTTGGTGTATATTCAAGACCAAGGTCTTTTCTCGTTTATAGAGACCTTTGATCAATGTAAGCCTTATAGTATTTAAAAGGCCATCTCTCGCTCTCAGCTGTCCTCAGATTCCCACAACTTCATTAGTCATGGCTGACTTTACAGGGAGTTTTAAATGTGAGCAGGATTTAGCAGGGTTCCAGCAGGTTTCTGAGAGCAGCAGAAGATAATGGAAGAAGTGGTGTCACCTCCTGTGGTACAACCCAGCTTCTGTTTATCTAAGAACAGGTTAGAACAATTATTCAAACCTGAGAGAATGACTCAGGGACTCATTCCATAGCTGGTAAATGCTTCTGCAGAACGAACACTTGCCTTGGTGTCATCACTGGGAAAAGCCGCAAACTCTGTCGGCTCACTCTGCCTCAGCACAGTACAGAGTCGACGTTGCAACAACGAACAGCGCGCCGGGCAACCAGGGAATTACCTGGAGACTAAAAAAAGCAGGAGCTAGACAGACAGCAGATCTACTAGAGCGGTGAAGATCGTATTTGTTGAATACGTTATTCAACACTTTCCCCCATTTTTCTAGGTAGAACCTCTGGGTAATAAAAGTGATTATTCAGAACAGACACAGGTTCTATGATATCTTTCTAATCAGACATGGGAATAGTATTTCTATTTACCCAGCTGGACTCTTCAGAACACCCTTGGCTCCTGTTCTCAGATTTTGCTGACTTCCAGCATACTTACAGATTCTCCTGTTGTTTCTCCTTCCCTACTGTACTTGGGCTTTATTTTCTCTTTAAATGCTCTTCTCCAACACTGATGCCGATTATCCTCCTTGCATTTTTAGAGCTCTAGTTTTATTTGCAGTTAACTTGTCTCTCATCCCCACTGAGTCTAAAGTTTTAGGTTGAGGTTTCTGTGAAGGGATATGCTTCTCCTGGCCTAAGTCCCCCACCTGTTCAAACTCTAGACAGTTCTCATCTATTGCCGCTCCCTATCCCATAATAGGCAACCCACTTCATCAAACTGGCCCTTTGGAAGGTTTCATTTACTTGAGTTCAGACCCCAAATCCTTCCAATGATGGAAATTTGTCTCTGCTTCTGGTCTGATCCCATTTTCCCAAACTCTCCCTAAGTCACCTCACCACATTTTCTCATCATCAGTTGAAAACAGTGAAGCTAAAATATCAGGGCCTGTAACATGGACTGATAGAAAATTGGAATCTCTGCAAAATTACTCTTCTTACCATTTCAGCCGGAATTTTCCTGTTGATTGGCTTCTCTGGGCCCTGGTTCTATGGGCTGGAGGAAAGTCACCTGTCTGCAATTCCTATTGGCTGAATCACAAATTCCTTTATGTAGTGTAACATCAATGGTTATTTAGCATGGGCGGGTGCCAGAGGTTCCAGCTTTCTGTGTAAAATTTGTGGACCTTGTAGGTGGTATTTAACCTCCCCCAGAGCACATGCGGCTCAGAGAGAACATTTCCCTTTTCAGTTATGAATCAATTTTCATTTCCTAGGACTGGATTTTCCATATTTTGTCCTATGAAAGAGATCTGTCAACAAATGTGACTCTGGACAGGTGAGTAAAAACAGATCTGAGAGAAAATAGTCTGGGCGGCTATTGCCATTAGGTTAGCTCAGACCTTGACAATCAACCCAAGCACGTGGGAGGAGAGCAGATTCTCGGACATGGTGCTTGCCTGGCCATGTAGGCAGACAGTCCCAAAAGCAGCGCATGCAGATACTGTACTCGCCATAGCTACAAACTAGGCAAGTCAAAAACCTGCAACCAGAGTTTAAGCTAAAAAGCATATTGAACACAGCAGGGTCTTGTCAGCTCCAAAGAAGTTTTAACAGAGACCAGGGCTAAAATGCCCCAGGTTTCCAATGTTCAGCACCTGTATGTGCATTGGAGTACGTGCGCACACACACACACACACACACCCTCTGAAGGAGCCAATCCAGTCTACCAGGTTGGATGGAGATGGCCGATACGATTTAATAATCTGAACTGAGGCCTTGGACAAGTGGGAAATCTGCACTCGGCCTTTGAGGTGCAGAAATAATCTGACTCCAAACCCAAACTGTAGCTTTGTTTGGAAAATTCCTGACTTTTTTTGCATCTGCTTGCACAGGTGCGTGTAACATGCAGCAAACAAGTCATGCGAAAGCTCAGATTGGCCATAAAGGCTGAGCCCAGAACACAGTGCTAGAGGTGGGCTTAAAAAAAAAAATCAGATGGAAACAGGTCACCCTGAAACCAAACGGTGTGAACATTAAGCTCCCTGACACAGGACTGATATTGGTATCACAGTAGCAGTGTCTCTTACGTATCAAGCCATAAAGCCAGGTGAACTAGACCTCAATGCAGTTAGTTCTTGCCTAGCAGAAAGGCACAAGGAAACTAGTTTGAAGTCTGTGCTCAGGAACAGTCACTTCTCCTCACGCAGAAAACCAACACCTTGGATTTCATACCCAAGCCAGGCTACTCTGGCCTCACCGTTTTACCTGTGTGTCGTGCACATGCGGTGCTGACCCATGGAGTTCAATGTGCCGGACGTTTGTCAGTTGTGGTCCATTGTTGCTCCTAGTGCAGCGTTTCTCAAATGCAGCCACCGTGGCTGTCTGCGGCAACCAGCGGCTTTTCTTGTGGCCGCAGCCTCCTGAGTGTGATGGGGGGGAGAGGGCAAAGTAGAGCCCCCTCCCCCTCGCTCCTGGATGCACCGCCCTGATGTTGGTTACTGCGGCTGCCAGCAGGGGTTTGGGCCCTGCCCTGCTCTGGAGTCACCTGGGCACAGTGCTGGAGGAGCAGGCAGCTGATGAGTTCCCCACCTTCCCGGAGGGGCGGGGCAGCTTTGGGCTCCAGCCCTGGGGTAGCGGGGTAGCAAGCTCCGGGGCTCTGGCCACATGGCTTCAGGCTCTGTCCCGGCTTCAGGCTCCAGCCCCCCAGGGCCTCCCCCAGCCCTCCATCTAGGACTTAATTTGTCCCCAGGCTTGCTAGAGCTGATTAAATCTGCTGTGTAAAAGTGATACTTGTATGTTTGTTAATATCACTTTTCACAGCAGACGAACTAGCTAACAATAAATAAATTACCATGATTTGGCCGTGTCTATGTGCATATTTATTTGGTTTTCCTATAGCTAATTAAGTATCTTAGAAAAAATGTGAGAGCGGCCACCAGCAAGAGTTGGTGGCCACACTCTGAGGCCACCAAAACATTTGTCCCGAGAATCCCTGTCCTAGTGGTAGCAGTTGCATTCCTTGTTTATATAGAATTCCAGCTCCAATTCCTAAGCAGTGTAAAGGATCTGAACTAACAATGTTAAATAGAGAAACTGGTTCCATATTCCCGTCCAGTCTGCATAATGCAGAGGATGCTGCTATGTCCAGATTACAATGGACACGAAATCATGCCATTGTGCAGAATGAGCCCATGTGATTAGGTTCTGAGGGAGAAGTGAACTAGAGGCAACCGCCTGGAGCAGACCTGTGACCCTGACTCTTCCCCTGGGGAGTCCCAGTATTAGGTGCTGTTAGCCTGGGGTTATTTGCAGACTTCGGTGTTTTAAACTGAGGCAGGACAAGGAGGTTCTCTGCAACTGAAGTCCATTTGCCCAAGGGATGAATACAGATAAAGCTGCAGGTTCTGTGCTGAATTAGAGAATGAATGTGAGGCTGGCTGGCCATAAAAGGTCTGGCAAAAATGGATGGAAGTAGCACAATAATAATGCTTGGCAGAGCATGAAAGTAAAACCAGCTAGCTACCAGGAAGTTTGGTGATGTGCGAGAGACCACGTTCTGTGGCAAACAGCAGAGGAACATTAACAAGGCCTTCACGGGAGTTACCCTAACCCTACAATAATGTTACGGTCATAAAATAGATTTAAGAGACTGAGGCAGAAGCGAACAGGAAGTGCCACCATGACAGAGACTTGGCAGAAACGAGTAAGTAAAGGTGATGGCCAAAATTGGCAATTCTAGAAGTGGCGAGAGCCCATGTTGGCTTCAGTGGGAGAGGGGCTGCTTGGCCTCTCTGAAAAGCCGACTCCGATGTAGGTGCTTGAATATGGATTTAGAAGCCTAACTTTACCACGTCTCTTTTTAAATGGTGGCAAATGGCTACAAAACTAAGCTCCGGCACTTTCCTCAGGAACAGCTCTAAAAACCACCAGAAAATGCCAACCCAGGCAAAACCAAACGCCTCCCTAGCACAGTGTTTATGCCCATCCCTTGGCTGCCTCCAGAACAGACCTCAGGGGTTATTCAGATGCGGCAGTCAGAGGAAAGGTTGCTAATCAGCTCCCAGAAATTTGCTCCTGGCAAGTTCCCCCAAGAGTCTCCAAGCACTTCCAATACAGTCATTAGGCAGCTCTGTTCTTAACGCACCTTTGACCCCTTAAGGGATTCAGTTTATAAGGTGCCTGAGAACAAGATCTCTCCCCCAGCAACTAGGCTCACCATTTTTACCTCCTCTATTTGCCAGACTGTGTTTAACAGAAAGAATATTATAACTGTCACCCCTAGCGCTGCTTTGAGAAGCTTGATCCCAAATGCAAGCCCAGCCCCTCCCAGGGAGCACCAGAGTCCAGCTTACACTTGAGTAAGTGCACAGGGCTAGAATTTAGTCTGAATTAATTCTTGTGTCCTACAGAAATGGGATCATCAAGCTAAATATTTACTTCCAAGAGTATAACTACAGAACCATCTCGGAATCTGCGGCTACAACCGTAAGTGCAGTATCAGGCTCCTGCTTCTAACACACGTGCCAGAGCATATTTCCGTAGCCTTTTCCAGAAGCCAAATACCTGCAGAGTTCCCACTGCAATGACTCTGCCAATCTCAGTCTCTGAGCAGCGTCCATGCAGTATTTAGAGGTGTCCCTGTCACCTGGACTGAGTGGTAAATGCACCTGCTGTGCTGCTCCATGGGACTGAACTCCTACTCCTCATCAGCACCACCCTCTACAGGCTGGTTCACAATCCCTTCTTCAGTCCTGGCGCTGACCCACCTCCTCCTCTATCCTTGGTTGGGGCGGGGGAAAGCGATGGTTAGGAGCACGGTGAAATCTCCTTTGGGGTGAGCAGCTGCCTTCACACGCCTCTGTGCCTGCAACATGAGGGCCTGAGCTAAATGTTGCAGGTGTGATCTAGGTGTGGATAGTCACCTAGTTAAAGTAACCCCCCCCCCCCCCCCCCGAGTACACAGCTGCCCAGTTGCTCCTGGGGCTGACGGTAGGCGGGTCCTGACCTCGTTTTCCTATTTCAGATTGTGTGGCTCCTGTCAAGCTTGGGAGGCCAGTTTGGGTTCTGGATGGGGGGCTCGGTGCTGTGCCTCATTGAATTTGGAGAAATCATCATTGACTTTCTGTGGATCACCATAATTAACATCATCAGCTGGTGCAAAGGCCTGAAGCAGAAACGAGCCCGGGCCCAGTACCCAGACACACCTCCGACAGTGTCAGAGCTGGTGGAAGCTCACACCAATCTTGGGTTCCAACATGAGGACACCAACATCACCCCCTGTGATGAAGTTCCTCCCCCTGGAGCACTCCCACCCGAGCCAGGCACCCCACCACCCAACTACGACTCCCTGCGGGTAGACCCACGGGCTGGCATTGACTCGGACAGCGATGCAGAGGCCAGTTAAGAAGCACAGAATATTGCACTGCACTTGGCCACCTGACCCTTGTAATTGACTCGGCACTGGGCTTTGTTTGTTAGGAGAGCGGCCGGGGCTAAAAAGGCCACAAAGCTCATTTAAAAGAAATTCCACCGATAAAGCATGGGGGGGGGGCCGGCATTGACTTTACTGTATAACGTGTGCGTAATTCAATACTGCAATCTATTCCAGTCTAAGACATACTAGGGATTTTTTTCAGCAAGTTCCTCCCCCACGCACACTTGTATCTAGAAGGTGCTTCTTTGCATGCTGTTTCTGTGATCAGTAGCTTCTCATGGAATGACGGTGATAAACGAATCGTACTACTAGGTATACAAGTACGCTACCAGAATAAAGGCTGTTGCAATGACAACGGGAAATTTATTACATGGGAGGAAAGTCACAAAGGAAAGACTGAGGGTGGCTTGCAGTAGAAAGAGACTGGGACATCCATGGCATGAGAAGCTGATAGGGGCTTTGCTGTATGGGGCAGTACAGACTAGAGCCTGTTCTACACACATCTGTTTCTGTACAGCTAGCCTGCAAGTAACAGAACTGAAGTGACCCATCCTTTCTATCCTTTTCTAAGGTCTTCTCCACTCCCAATATTTCTGCCTCCAAATAACCAGCAGTATAAACAGGGACCTGCTCCACACACAAGTGGTGTTGGCTGCTTGCTGGAGCCCTTATGCTTTTTGTTTGTGTTCCTGTGCTCACTGCTCTGATTTTTAGTAATTAGTTTCCTGCAGATGGGCACATTTGTTAATATATGTTAGAGGTAAACAGTTTAGATTCCAATAAAGATACAAGCACGCCTACCCTGGGTGGAGTGGCAGGTCACCTAACAGTATCATTCTTGGCAAAAAACACCAGCTCTCATTGCTGAGTTTCCTGGTGGCAGAGCAGGTGACGCTTAGTGCTTATAAAAAGAGACGCTGCTAGGACAGGATAGGACTAGGTCCGGTGCAGATTTAGGTCAAGCTTCCCTAGGCAGCCAGCTCTGCTACTGCAACAGCACTAGCCCTGCGATTCCATTTTGCAGACTGCCTTAGGGAGCGGGGTTGCAGTGATCTAGTCAGATCTCCATAGGGCACTTGGCAGGTGAGCCTAGGACCTTGCCCTTATGGCAGATAGGAACCACGTCTTGGCGAGGAGGGAGCAGCTCCATGCCACGGCTGCTGTCCCGCTGCCTCTCAACCGCGCTGCAGATCTAGCAGCTTTCAGAACTTCAGGAAGAAACAAGATTGTGTGGTCAAGTCCTGAGGATTATCCCCAGCTGCGCAGTTCGCGGCTGCGTGGCCACGGGTGAGTTATCTCCCAGCCCCCTACCTGTAAAATGCGGCTAATACAGTCTCACCTATCAGAGGGGTGGTGAGGCTTTATGTTGAAATCCACAGCTCAAAACTGCTATCAAAGTGCAGTGCTATGAATTAGACACAAAATGCTCAAGTCCCAGGCTAGCTGGAGACTCTCCATTCCTCCTTCACACAGCCACAGAAGTGATCGTCCTCACACACAGCAGCACAACTGATGTAACAACATTCTAGCAAGACACACCCTAACAATCACAATCGATGACTAGCGCAGCAGGCCCTGGTGGCTGCAGTGCCCAGCACAGTTGTGGGCCCCATCTTACACCCAGGGCTTTGCACTGGAATGTTATTGTAAGAAGTCCTTGGTTTGGAATTCTGAATACTTCCAGTCATGTTCAAAGTACTAAGCCTTGCGCGCTCTGATGATCGATCCATACCGCTAATACACACAATGATAAGGAGCTGCAGTCTGCACAGGCCTGTCTCCTCCTCCCATTCACATTAACCATCTTGGATAAAATATTCGGCCATAGGCACCACATTGTAAACCAGGACAGACAAGTCACCAAGACCACTGAATGTCTGCCATTCTGCCCCAGGCAAGGGGAGCCCCAGGACAGCTTTGTCATAAGCTCCTGAGAGCACAAATTGAATTGGTTTTCCTTTCAATATGAAACAGGATTTAGTGGGAATTATTGTAAATGGGACAAAGTTAGGGATAAGTGACATTCTCTAAAGCCCCAAACCTGCCATGAGCGCCAGATGGGCAGACCCGTCCCCATGCACAGCCCAGGGGCTCAGAGCAAGCATCATCCCCCTCAGAACTGATTACAGGATGGGATTCTAAGAAAAGCGAATGGCTTTCTTCCCACAGCTGGGAAACGGCTCTCTCACCCTTCGTGTTTCCTCGATGGAGCCACTTGCCGTCTACATTTTAAAAAGTTTCTGCCAGTTGGAATTTCCTGCACCTACAATGGGGAACATGGGTAAAAACCAACAACAGTTTTCAAAGAAGTAGAAACTTTCTGCATGCGCTCACTGAGAGAGGAAGAATATAACAACTCAACACAGCCCAGAACATTGAGGACACCTTTTTCCTCCTTAAGACAGACCAGCCCTGAATGTGATTAATTTACATTATAATTTTGGGCAGATTTCTAGTTTCAAAATCAATGACACCAAAGGCCTTTTCCTGTATTCATAACCTCAATTTGTTAAGTACTTGAGAATTCACATTACAGACCAAATCTCTATTACATCCCTCTATTAAACCATTACTAGAGGAGAGCTGGATAGATGGAAATCTCTAATTTCACAGACTGCAGGGATAAATTGACTAAAAATGAATGAATGGGAGCTACTCTATCATCCTTTCCTGATCTTACCAATTATAGTGCCCTGAATCCTTTCCCTCCTTTTGTTAAAGACAGTTATCTAAATTAGCCACACAATGTGTTTGTTTAAGCAAATGCCCTAAAATCTGCAGAGATTATCTATAGCAAACAAAGCAACATCATGATCTAGGTTCTTAAGAATTTTAATATCTTTTTCCCCTACATAAATGAACATTTACTACAGTCCCCAGCATCACAGAAGTGAAACCGAATTTCCTTATTCTCTCAACCATTAATTTGATGTGTTCTGTTTACGCCAAAGGAAGCTTTTATTTAAGAGAACAACCCTTATACCTCCCATTCATTAAATATATGGAAAAAACAGTCTCTCAATTATCCTTCCGCATTCCCACCCTTTCCGTCTATACTAGGAATACTTATGGTTTTGACATCTTCAAATCATTGTAATTATTGGTGAAAGACTGTTTCTTGGGCTCCTGAGGAGGAGGCTGGGCGAGTTTGGCAGATGTTACCGGCCGTCCTTTCTATTGTGTTTTCATTTATGGGCTAGAGGCTGATCCGATACTCTGCGCACTACAGCGATTTCTACAAATACAAACAAAGAAATAGCCAGTGCCACATATTACCAGCAGATTTGCAAACGATACAAAACCTGCACGTTGCCACTAATGCCACCTAATCAATATTTTAATCTCATTCAAAACACTGGACGCTCACTCGGAGACAGCGTTCATTGTCAGGTCTAGGAAAAAGGGGCAGGATCTAAGATGTATCCATTATAATCTTCCAACTGTGCTAAAACCAGGAGATAACTAGATTATGTAGTAGTCTAATTTTCCAAATACTGGTCTAGCATTCCTGCAACTTCTATTTGCATATCTCATCTAATCACTACATACTTTAAATAATCAGCATTTCAAAAGGAAGCTTCTTATGTCAGTAAATGGAGCCATTCTGTCAAACTTTTGCCTTGAAAACGTGGCATTTTTGCTTTCCATACACAAGGGGAACAGCACAGCTGCCAACCACACTTGACTGAGTAAAGGGCTGAGCCTGCACCTCACTTCCAAGGATCAGATTCCTTATTGTGTGTGAACACTTCCTGCTGAGCTACGTCAGCACCCGACAGGACCGTACCCCAGAACTCGCACCATGCCGGGATGAGCTCACAGCAGTCAGTGAGGGAACACACTCAAGAGGGGTTGAGGCACTTTAGGTCCCCAGGATCTGCAGCAGATGTTTTTAGGGTTAATAAAAGGGGAGTCTGCTGTCCTGTGCAATAAACAGACACACATATGAACCAGCTTCTCACTTAAGTTCTGTTGCTGTTTCCAGTTCACGTGCTTCTTATTCACCAGTTTGTTAGGGTCTGTGGAAGACACAATCTAACAGCAGATGGAGACCAGCCTATTCCAGACAGCCAATTATGTTATCTACGCAGGTGGTGTTGTAAGGAAGAGATCGCCTAGCCCTGGGTACATCGAGAGCAAAGCCATGAGCAAGCAAGTAAAAATAACCAGAATTGGTGACAGGGCAGATGAAATGCAGTTAGGAAACCTGCTCAGGACAGCAAGATCCAGTTCTTACAAGAGCCGTCCTAGCCCTTTACTGTTCAACTCCTCACTCCCCTCCTACCCAATAAATGGGTTACTTCCTTCCTTAGCCAGAGGATGACTCTATATTGCAGCCGCCTTCACAAAGAGTTTCCCTAGAGCCTGAGAGTGCTTCACTCTGCAACCCATGTGGCCATTGCATGAGAACTGGGTAAGTGAACAAACCTCTGGTTCTGGGCCAGTGCGTTCTAGCACGTTTGTAGTAACACTTAGCAGCTTCTCCGCCACAGACCTCCACAGCTCTGTGCAGCAGTGGGCACGCATTGCTCTCCTCATTTTATAGACGAGTTAGTCTAGTCACAGAGAAGCGATTTGCTCAAGGCACCGAGCAAGACACCAGGGAGCTGAGAATAAACCCAGGTCTCCCGATTCCAACTCTGGGGTCCAAGCCACTGGACAATGCCGCCTCAATCATTTGTAACAGCTCCTATTTCATAGAAGCACAAGAGCTGTTCCAGCCCAGGGCCAGGGTGGATTTAGAAGCATGTGGCGAAATCTCGTTTGGCCCCACAATTGACCCAAGCCCATGCCTGACACCACAGCAAGGCAGAGTGCGTGACCCCGGGAGGCCAGCTGCAGAGAGAGGAGACGAGTCTGTTCCAAATCCAGCCCCCACCAAAACAGTTGATGAATCAGGTCCCCTCCAATATAGCATCCCCAGCTCAGGGATCAGCAGCCTTTGGCACGC